CAGGATTCTGGAGGTAATATTGTTTACTACAGATATGCTGCTGCAACCCAGTACCAAAAGTGTTTCTCCAATGCACCTTAACCATCCTTCCAATGCCAATGTTACTAAAAATGAAGACATGGGGGAAAAGGAGAACTGAGAAGGTGTAACAAGACTTGCTAAAAGGGTGTTTCTTTGTCAGAGGCTTAGGGTCCTTCCACACAGCCCTATATCCCAGAATATCAAGGCAGAAAATCCCACAGTAGCTGCTTTGAACTGGGTTATCTGAGTCCACACTCAGATAACGTGGGATTTCCTACCTTGATAATCTGGGATACAGGGCGATGTGGAAGGGCCCCCAGACAGGCCCTATATCCCAGGATCTGATCCCAGGTTTTCTGTTTATCCCAAATTATCTGGCAGTACGGACTCATATAATCCAGTTTAAACCTGGAATCAGATCCTAGGTTATAGGGCCTGTCTGGAAAGGCTGTCAGTTAAATGAAACATGCCTGTAATATATGGTTGGATATATCTTCCTAGAAATATTGTGGCTTGGTGCATGTCACACATGGCTTGGTGCATTTCCTATGGTATGAAAATACTATGTAACACTATAGGATTTATCTATTACCAATGTTTAAAAGAGTCTGGATGGAGCAGATAAAAAGCCTGTCAAGCATTCTATTTTCACAATAACCAGCCAGATATCTATGGGAATCCCGTAAGTATGATGTGGATGCAACAGAACCTTTCAATTCATGGTCCTATACTATTCAGAAACATACTACTTCAAGTTCTGGAGCTCATACATATATATATCATGACTATTAGCTGCTGGTAGCTTTATTCTTCTTACCCAAACCTCCTTCTATTCACACATTGAGGGATTCATACTCCTCTCTTCGATTTACAAAATGGAAATCAGGAGAATTGAATATGTACAAAACATTCATGGTCTTAACTCTTGAGTAAAATTTGGACCTCCAAGATAGCTATGTAATCCACACAGAGAGCAGTTCCTTCAGCCAAGAACCTAAGTCTACAATTAGGATCTAACAGAATTAATGTTACAGCAGCCTATTAATTGCAAGACAGAAGAGTCACTAAGCTAAACAGGTCAGCAATATTCCTCTTACGTGTACCTATACTGTCGAAAGGTTTTACACTAACAGTCATCTTAGGTACTTTCCACACAGCCCTATATCCCAGAATATCCAGGCCAAAAATCCTACATTATCTGTTTTGAACTGGATTATATGGCAGTGTGGACTCAGATAACTTAGTTCAAAGCAGATATTGTGGCGTTTTCTGCCTGGATATTCTGGGATATAGGGCTGAGTGGAAGGGAATGCAATATGTAGTACCAGAATGCCACTGAGGTTTAAAGGTAAACATGCATAGGCTAATGAATTCCAATTGTAATATCAACTAAGCCCCATTCATTTACTAGTTCACAAGAAGCATGTTAGGCATCAACATCAGGCACTGATTTTAACAGGGCTGCTAAAACAAATTGGAAGCATCACTAGAAAGCACTCATACTCTGCCCTTTGACTCATAAGAGGCCAGAAAGATGTCTGGCAGGTCTCTTGATCTCTCATTAGTTTTGTTATGCGACAGGCGCTTAAGTCAACTGCACAGGTGACTGGCATATTTAGCAAAGCTTTTACCCCCTGCTCTATAACCCCAATGAAGAGGGAGCACTCACTAATCTCTGAGTCATGTATGACTACCATAAGATGAGATGTTTCCCAGGCTGTATATGACATTTTTCCCAGCACTTGTTATATGGGGAAAACAAACCTTTCTACACACCAACTGAATGCAAACATTAGAAAACAATGGCCAATGACATAGTGGGACTTTTCATAACACAGAATATATGTCCAGGAACTTCAAACTGCCTGCACCAAGCACATCATTTTCTTGCAAGGATATAATGAACACAATCTAGTCCACACCTAGCAACAGTCCCCAGGTCTTTGCTGGAGAACTGTGTTCCCTCAGGTTGGACAGAAAATCATTAGCCTGGGGAACTAAGTCTAATCATCACACAAATCACAACAGCAGTATACAAACAAGCTTTTGCATTTGCCTGGGAGGAAGTCCCATTCATTTCAGAAGAGCACACCTTGAGTAGATTATGCAAAGAGCTCCAGAATAAAGAAGGGGGAAACCAAGAAGCATGCTGCCACTGCCTTCAGCGTTATCACTCCATTTACGATGCAGAAAGGAAAATTTAGCCAAGCTTATCATATCCCTTTGTTGGTGTTGACATATTTCCTGGAAAGTCATTTCCAACACACATCTAGAGGGACAGAAACAGTTCAAACAGCAGGGGAAGTTATTGTTTGGGGAGCATATTTTGTTCCATGTAGTGAAAAAGCAGTAAGAGAGCAAAAAGAATATAATGAGAAAGCTCACTACATTTGCAACCCTTTTTTTTGTGTCAGGAGCAACTTGAGAAACTGCAAGTTGCTATTGGTGTGAGAGAATTGGCCGCCTGCAAGGACGTTGCCCAGAAGGCGCCTAGATGTTTTACCATCCTGTGGGAGGCTTCTTTCATGTCCCCGCATGAGAAGCTGGAGCTAACAGATGGGAGCTCACTCCACTCCCCGGATTCAAACCGCCAACCTTTTGGTCAGCAGTCCTGCCAGCACAAGAGTTTAACCCATTGTGACACTGGCACAACAGTAAACCAACATATGAGGGTGGCAACAAATCAACCCAATAAGGCATAGTTAACTAAAACGTAAGTAAGCAATACAACAAATACCTTAAAAGCAATTTAAAATATAGTTACATTAAAAATCCACAAGTATGTGGATTATTTAAACAGAAAGGAGGAACCCATGAAAATGAACAAATTCTGGCTACCAGTATTTTAAAAACTCCAAAATGATAAAGTAGAGAGAACATTATGTTTAGGGGCCCTTCTGCACAGCCCTATATCCCAGAATATTAAGACAGAAAATCCCACATTATCTGAGTGTGGACTTCGATAACCCAGTTCAAAACAGATATTGTGGGATTTTCTGCCCTGATATTCTGGGATATAGGGCTGCATGGAAGGGCCCTAAGACAATGTACATAAATATGCCAGCAAAGTCATATTCAACAGATTACAAGTTTTCAAACAGAAATGATGGTGTGGGTGTGTGTAACACATAGCTTTCACTATTTTGTGACTCTATCCTTGAGAAACAATTTAGAAGCTGGAGAAGTTTAATAGATTCTCTCCCTTTCCCTCCCACTTCTTTCTCTTTTATTCATATTTCTGCACTTTCAAGCACTCTCAAACAGTTGTAGGCAAAACAAATGAATTAAGATGCTGTTGTAAGAGGTTGCGGGAGTTCTAGATTCCAATAAAGATTACAGATTAGACGGGAGATAATTAGTAACTAAGTATCTACTTAGATAAACAAACCTGTTCACAAACAAAGCACCTTATTGTATTTCTAATGCTACCTCCAGTAATCCAACTAAGACAGTCAAGACAACAGCTTGGAGGTCAAAAGGAACCAAAACTGAAAACAAAGGCTTCCTAAACCTCTTGCAACCAAAGGATAGATCACTTTCGTCCTTTGTGTTTTAGTGCCACTTAGGCATCCAGAAATTCCTTTACTTGTATGCTAATAAGTACACAAATCCAAAATCATAGTATAGAAGATGAAGGCAGCAACAAAGACTGATCTCATATCTATCTATTGTGCCATTTCTAGCAACCAGCACTTCGAGATAATGCTTTCCTCAAGAAAAGTGTACTTCCTCTTTAAGAATACAGTTCAGAACAAAAACACAAAAGGTACCCTGTCCCAGCAAGCAAGCCTTAACAACTGTATGCCTCTGATGAGGAACAGGCATAATGAAGACAATTAATAAAAGTAGCCAAGAGGAATACTACACACAGCCATCAAAACTGAACACAACCTTTGCCCAATGAATTGCAAACAAAAGCAGGAAATGTTCAAGATCATGCAGGACCAGGAATGGAGCATGTAGGTGGGTGTGGAGGTGGGGTAAATAATGGATAGCAAATGTCCAGGTGCTCATTCCTTCAGAACCAAGCAAAGCTTGCTTCACTTAAAACTAAAGCAAACCTAGTGGCTACGAGCTTCAAGATCTAAAGGATTACACAGAAAAGATCACATCCTTCCCTCAGTATACCTGAGGGGCATTTTCTTTCCACCAGGCCCTGTTTCCTTTCCTGAAATCCTCCAAAACTGACTGTAATCAGTGTATTGCCAAACACTTTCATGGCCAGAATCACTGAGTTTTTCAGGCTGTATTGCCATGTTCCAAAAGCATTCTCTCCTGATGTTTTGCCCACATCTATGGGAGGCATCCTCAGAGGTTGAGTGGTCTGTTGGAAACTAGGCAAGTGGGGTTTATATATCTGCTGGACCACTCTTAACAACCACCATGTCAGACTATACAGAGAAGTCATTAAAATCCACAAGCTTGTGGACTATTTCAACAGAAAGGAGGAACTCATGAAAATTAACAAATTCTGGCTACCAGTATTTAAAAAACTCCAAAATCATGACAGTAAATAAAGAGCAACACTCCAAAAGCATGGGAATTCCAGACAAGAATCAATCAGCTAAAACCTCCCAACAAAAGATTCCCCCAGGCAGGAAGCAGCCAGGCTTTGAAGCTGCAAGGCCATTCAATGCTAATCAAGGTGGCCAATTGCAACATTCACACCTACCTCAAGCAGAAAAGAATTCTTTCTCCCACCCTGTACATTCCACAGATATATAAACCCCACTTGCCTAGTTTCCAACAGACCCCTCAACCCCTGCCATAGATGTGGGCAAAATGTCAGGAGAGAATGCTTCTGGAACATGGCCATACTGTCCAGAAAACTCACAGCAAGCCACTGGCTGTAACCCATTGCCAGCACAGAGAACATGCACGCCCAGGTGGGAGTCTGAAAGCCAACTGTTTCTCTTTGCCCCCTTGTGCAAACACATCACATGGGGATTTCTCAAGATACCTTTGTGCCGAAGCCCTACCTCTTTTTGGCCTCGGGAAGCTGTCATGCAAGTGAAAGACGACTTTCTCCACAAAGTGCTGAATGTTGCTATGCTCCGGTCCTCGAACGAACACCATCCAATCGTGAGTAAAACCCTCCACTGTGGGTTTCTTCCTCACCTGGGCTCGGTGCCCAAGCTCCAGTTTCACCTGAACAGCACACTGGGGGGAAAAGAGAGAAAGGTAACAATGAGCAGGAGAGAAAGCCAAAGAACACACAAACATGCCCCTACACACCTCACGCTTGAACATTGTAAGGCTTTATTGGGAGGGAGAGAGGGATGGAATGGGGAAAAATATGCACACAAAGAAAATATGTCGATGGGGGGGACGGGGATTCTCCCTCACCCCTAGAAAAGCATTCCTGCTCCTGAAGGAGCCAGGATTGTAATGGAATGCAGGCTGGAACATTGTAACTGAAGGATGGATTCCCAAATTGGGAGAAGATGCGAAAAGGTGGCAGGGAGAAAGAGAGGGAGAAAGAGGGAGAGAAAGAGGGAGGGAGGGAGGGGGATATAACAAGAAGAGACAGCCAGGGTTTCTCTCTTTTGAAGGGTCTGCTCTTGCTCGAAAACAAGACAGGAATGCCACCTAGCATTAGGAATAAAATCACAAATAGATGTGGGTCTTTCACATCACAAAGGGAGAGAATGGGCAAAGAGGACTGCAAAGAAGAAAAGATATGTTGGTGGAAGTCAATGGTATGGTTGTGTCTTGTATGTGGGTGTATGAAGAAAAAGAAGGTGCAAAAGAGGGAGTAGACGGCAGTGTGAGGTCCTGCCTGTGTGTCTATGGGTTGGGATGGATCTATCCCAGGAGGGAAAAGGCTCATCTATCATAAAAGGGAAGAGTGTGAGGAGTGTGTGGGTTGAATTGGACCTATGGTAGTATGGAGTCTTGCCTGTGGGTCGATGGGTTAGGTTGTATCCATCCAAGGAGGGAAAAGGCTCATCTATCAAAAGAGGGAAGAGTGTGAGGAGGGAAGAGTGTGAATTGGACCTAACCATGGAGACAAAAGGCTTATCTATAGAAAGAGAGAAGAGCCTGAAGGTGTGTGGGATTTGCTTTATGGAAAGTGGGGAAAGCCTTCTCTCAGAGACACCAAGCATAAAGAAGAACAAGTCTGTGAGTTGAATCTATCCAAGGAAGGAAATTGCTTGGCTATAGAAAGAGAGAAGAGTCTGAGGAGTCTATGGATTGGACTGAATCTATCCAAGGAGAAAAACAGCTTATCTATGGAGAAAGAGGAAAAGTCTGAAGGTGTCTGGGTTGGATTTACTCTACGGAAAGCGGGCAAAGGCTTCTCTGAGATGTCCAGGGATGAAGAAGGATGAGTCTGTGAGTTGTCTCTATCCAAGGAAGGAAATGGCTTAGCTACAGAAAGAGAGAAGAGTCTAAGGAGTCTGTGGGTTGAACTGGACCTAGAGAGAAAAGTCTGAAGGTGTGTGGGTTATCTCAGAAACACCCAGGAATGAAGAAGGAAGAGTCTGTTGGTTGAATCTATCCAAGGAAAGAAATGGCTTGTCTACAGAGAGAGAGAAGACTCTGAGGAGTCAGTGTATCAGACCGAATCTACCCAAGGAGGGAGGTATCTTATCTATAGACAGTGAGAAGAGTCTGAGGAATCTGTGGGGTGTGAGGGTTGGATTGGATCTATCGAAGGAGTGGAAAGGCTTTTTCTCATAGACAGAAAAAGAGAAGATTGTGAGGAGTCTATGGCTTGAAGTGGATCTACCTATAGGCTTCTTTCAGAGACATCGAGGAATTAAGAAGGAAGAGTCTGTGAGTTGAATCTATCCAAGGAATGAAAAGGCTTATATATAGAAAGAGAAGAGTCTGGGGAGTTGGTGAATTTGACTGAATCTATGGGAGGGAAAAGGCTTGTCTATAGAAAGAGGGAAGCGCCTGAGGAATCTGTGAGGTGTGAGAGTTGGACTGGATCTATCAAAGGAGTGGAAAGAGGGAAGATTGTGAGGATATGGTTTGAAGTGGATCTACCCATAGGCTTCTCTCAAGAGGGAAAATTGTGAGGAGTCTATGGTTTGAAGTGGATCTACCCATAGACTTATCTCAGAGACAGAAAGAGGTAAGTCTTGAGAGAAGCCTATGGGTAGATCCACCTCAAACGATAGACTCCTCATAATCTTCCCTCTTGAGAGAAGCCTATGGATAGATCCACTTCAAGCCATAGACTCCTCAAAATCTTTCCCTCAGAGACAGAAAGAGGGAAGACTGTGAGTCTAAGGTTTGAGATGGATCTACTCATAGGCTTCTCTTAAGAGGGAAGATTGTGAGGAGTCTATGGCTTGAAGTGGATCTACCAATAGGCTTGAGGTGGATCTACCCATAGGCTTCTCTCAAGAAGGAAGATTGTGAGGAGTCTATGGCTTGAAGTGGATCTACCCATAGGCTTGAGGTGGATCTACCCATAGGCTTCTCTCAAGAGGGAAGATTGTGAGGAGTCTATGGCTTGAAGTGGATCTACCCATAGGCTTCTCTCAAGAAGGAAGATTGCGAGGAGTCTATGGCTTGATGAGGATCTACCCATAGGCTTCTCTCAAGAGGGGAGATTGTGAGGAGTCAATGGCTTGAAGTGTATTTACCCATAGGCTTCTCTAAGAGACAGAAAGAGGGAGAGACAGAAAAAGCTCAAATTGTGAGGAGTCTATGGCTTGAAATGGATCTACCCATAGGCTTGTCTCAGAGACAGAAAGAGGGAAGAGTCCGGAGGAGTCAGTGGATTGGGCTGAATCACTGCAAGGAGGGGAAAGACTTGTCTATAGAAAGAGGGAAGAGTCTGAGCAATCTGTGGGGTGTGAGGGTTGGATTGGATTTATCAATGGGGTTGAAAGAGGGAAGATTGTGGGGAGTCGATGGCTTGAAGTGGCTCTACCCACAGGCTTCTTTCAGAGACAGAAAGAAGGAAGAGTCTGGAGGGGGTGTGAGGGCTGGGACTGGATCCACGCAAGGAAGGGAAATCCTTCCTGGAGGAAATGGCTCTACCGAGGGAGAGAAAGAGGGAAGAAGAGTTTGAAGGAAAGGAGGACGCCGAGGGAGCCCGGGAGCGCCGCCGGCTCCTGTCAGGGTGGGAAAGAAGCCGAAGCCAAAGCCACGCCGCCCGGGCACAAGGCAGTAACACACCATCCTGAAAGAAAGAGAAAGAGAGAGAGAGAGAGAGAGAGAGAGAGAGAGGCGCCTTCTTGAGCCTCAGTCCCTCGCAATGGATGGACTCGTTTAAAAAAGCAAGCCAAGAGCAGCCCAAGCAGCAGGAATACTATGGCTGGGCGATTATTATTATTATTATCCTCCTCCGCTGTGTGTGTGTTGTATGTGCGCGCGCCTGCAAGTGTGTGCACGCGCCCTTTGCAATTGCAGACGAGAGAAAGGGGAGGGAGGGGGGGTGGGAAGAGAGAAAGAGTGAGTGGATAATATACCTAGGAAAGAGAGAGAGAGAGAAAGGGGGAATTCCTGCCAAAGAAAGGCTCCGCTGAGAAGCCCCTTGTCTTGCTTGGCTTGCCCTTTTCCCCCCTGGCGACTCACCGAACTGGCCATGCCTGGTGGGGTGCCCGCCGTCCCTCTCTCCTTCCCCGCCGCCTCCCCTTCGGCTCCGGTTCAGGAGGAGGCGGCGAGGGCGGCCGGGAGAGGCGAGCCCATGGCGGCGGCGGCGCTGGCCTTGGCGGCGGACATGCTGCTGGGCTGCCGGGCTGGCTGCCTCCCTCGCCGGCTTGGCTGCTGCTCCTTCTCCTTCCCCCCCTTCCTCCTCCTCCTCCTCGTCTGCTTGCCCTGATRAAACGCTGGAGGCGGCGAAGGCGAGGAGAGAGAGTGAGTGAGAGAGACCCAGAGCATGCGCCCTAATGCTAATGCTGCTGCTGCTGCCTCTCCTGCTGCTGCTGCTGCCCACCTCCCGGCGCTGACACTGGGACACACGGGGGAAGGAAGGAAGGAAGGAAGGAGAGGAGCAGGCAGGCAGGCAAGGAGGGAGGGAGGGAGGGGGAAAGGAGGAGGAGGAGGAGGAGGGCTCGGCTAATCAGAACCGCCGCGAGTCAAGGAGGAAGAAAGGAAGGAAAGCAGGAGGAGGAGAAGGGTGACAATGAAGCCCAGGCGCAGGAAAGCTCTCCTCGCCCCACTCCACGCCGCCCACTTCACCCGCGATCGGGGCTGCTTCTTTTGTCATTGTTCCCAAAGGAAGCCCGGCCCCAAGGGGAAGGGCAGCGCCCAGGCAGGGCAGGCAGGGAGCAGCACACACACACACACACACACACACACACACTCGCTCACACGTTACACACCCACTCCTGGAAGTGAAGGAATGCCACAAGGAGCCTTTGGGGTGGGAAGTGGAAAGGAAGGGGAGGCAGGCGGGCGGGCTGGGAAGGAGAAAGCCGCCCCTGACTCCCCCCTTCCTTGCCTTTAATTCTGATTAAGGCACAAAGACCTCTTTCTCCTCTATATATACATGCACACATATATACACATATTTATTGTGTACATGCACACGTATATATATATATATATATATATATATATATATAYAYACACACACACACACACACAYACATAAACATACACACACATATATSTTTGTGGATGTGTGGATGTTTATGTATGTATGTATACATGTCTATGTGTATATATGTGTGTGTATATATATATATATAACACAGATATTTTATATATATATATATTTGTGTGTATCTTTATGTGTGTATGTTATGTATATGTATATATATATTTGTGTACGTTTATGTACACAAACATATATACATATACACACACATACACACACATATATATACATACATACATAAACATACACAAACATCTCTATGTTATATATACACACACAAATATACACATATACATACATAAACATACATACACACATATATGTTTGTGTATGTGTGGATGTTTATGTATGTATACATGTATGTGTATATATGTGAATGTATATATATAAGATATATTTGTGTGTATGTTTATGTATGTATGTTATGTGTATACATATGTATATGTGTGTATATGTATATATATATGTTTGTGTGTGTGTTTATGTATGTATACATGTATATGTGTATATATGTGTGTATATAACACAGAGATATATGTTTGTGTATGTTTATGTATGTATATGTGTGTGTATATATATGTGTGTGTGTGTATATATATATATAAAACACACACAGACATATATATAGTTTGTATATACTATAGGAGAGATCTTTGTTTCTTGACAATCATGTGTATATACACACATATATGTATCTATCTATCTGTATGATTTTTAAGAGACGAGGTACAAAGATCTCTCCAATGAAATATAAATACACACATAAACACACATATATATGTATATATTGTGTGTATGTACTATAGGAGAGATGTTTCTTTCTTGGCAATCGTGTATATACGCACATATGTGTATCTATCTATCTGTATGATTTTTAAGAGACGAGAGACAATATTGTGTGTATGTACTATAGGAGAGATCTTTGTTTCTTGAAAACCATGTATGTATATCTATCTATGATTTTCAAAAGATGAGAGACAATGATCTATAAAATATAAATACACACACACACACATATATATATTGTGTGTATGTACTATAGGAGAGAGCTTTGTTTCTTGACAATCATGTGTATATACACACGTGTGTATATCTATGATTTTCAAAAGCCGAGAGACAATAATCTCTCCTATAAAATATAAATACACACACACACATATTGTGCATATGACTTAGTAGAGATCTTTGTTTCTTGAAAATCATGTGAATATACACACATGTGTATATTCAAAACACGTATCATATTCTTTATGATTTTCAAAACACAAGAGACAATGATCTCTCCTATAAAATATAAATACACACACATATATATTGTGTGTATGTACTATAAGAGAGATTTTTGTATATAGTGTGTATGTACTATAAGAGAGATCTTTTATTTTTGAAAATGATTTGTGTGCGCGTGTGTATCTATCTCAATAATAATAATAATAATAATAATAATAACAACAACAACAACAATAATGGATCCCCCACGCAGCAACCAGCCAGGCTGCAAAGTTGCAAGGCTTTCAAATGCTAATCAAAGTGGCCATTGGCAACATTCACACTTGCCTGAAGCAAGAAAGAGTTCTTCCTCCCACCCTGGACATTCCACAGATACATGAATCTCACTTGCCTAGTTTCCAACAGACCTCACAACCTCTGAGAATACCTGCCATAGATGTAGGAGAAAAGTCAGGAGAGAATGTGCCTGGAACATGGCCATACAGCCCAGAAAACTCACAGCAACCTAGTGATTCTGGCCATGAAAGCCTTCGAAAACACAATAATAATAAATGTTATTTATTTTTGCTGCCTGTGTCCCTGTTCAGAATTATTATTATCTTTATTTATATCCTGCCTTTCTCCTCATGGGGACTCAAGGCAGCTAACATCCATCCACACTAAACAGTTTAAGAAGTCCAATACAAAAGTTATAAAACAATTAAATAATAACAGTGTGGTAAAAACAGAATCAAAATACAACAAACACATTAAAATGGCCTTTAAAACTCATATCCGCTCCAATCCCACCCACCCAGGAGATTTCACCTTGCTTTCTGCCCTTGTGAGAATTGGATTTTGAAAAATGTGGCTTGTTGTGGAAACAAGGATTGGTGAGGAAGCTTTGGTGGAGATACCTTTCCCCCCATAATAACTCTTCCAGGAGTGAATTTTCCTCCCAAGGGGTAGATTTCTCTCGCTTCCTGTTGTTTCGCTCCTGTTTGTAACTATGAGTTATTTGTAAGTCAGATGTTTAGAACTCAGTGGCTGCCTGTATACTGTATACCCAACACATACATGTATACATCCCTTTCAAGACACAATAATCCCTTCTGTAAATGTGTGTGTACTGTATTATACCCAATACACACATGATTTTTTTCAAGAAAGAAAGAAGTCTGAGGATATAAGCCCACAACATTGTGCCTATTCCCCAATTTTGAATCTGGTGCAAGTTTGCTGAGTGACAAGAAACACTCTGTGCATGCTCAGAGGAGTCCTCTTCTGTACATCTCATCACTCTGTTGTAGCATAAGATTAGTTATGTGGCCAAACACCGGTTCATATTAAGCCTTGCTGGCATTCTCAAAAAGCACTGAATGAGTGTGTTTACCTTTTGGTCTTGTTGTGTCAGATCTCTCCAGTTAACCTTCTTAGGGCCACGTGCCGCAAAGCAGAGATCTCAAAATAGCAAATGCAGCTAATTCTTGACTGTAATGGGTATAAACTGTATTAGAAACCTGATGCTCTTTAGCAATCAGCAAGTGTAATCCATATAAAGAGCCATAATCTGGTTAAATTCTGAGGGACGGGAGACTATTCACTTCTGTTATTAAGATAGATAGTCAACAATGACTCATATCTCTACTCTTGGTTAAGATGGTTGGTGGAATTTTATTTTTATTTCATGAAAGGCCATCTTCCCACAAGAGGGAGAAGGAGTTAAGATGCTTTCCATCCATCAGCTAACACTAACTAGTTTGATTCCTTTCTTGCAAACCACGTAAACCAAATGCACAGCTTTGCCACAGATACTGGTTAGCCACCCCTTTCTTTATTTTCTTTAACACTAATATGCTCAAATTAGTGAATAAATCTAACAAAATTATAATATAACTTTTATATTTTCAGCTGGAGATGAAATAAATCACTTCTATGTCTTTGTAACTTTTTCCAAGATGAGATTATTTTTACTGCCTAATGTAACTTCATTTTAACATCATCACCATCTCTAGATTACACTTTTCACCTTATATCACATCCATGCCTTTTTGTTTCATGGCTTATTTGATTTACTGAAGAATTCAAAACCGTAGCCACTTTTGTTTGTTACCAATAAATATAATTGTTCTTTTATTACATTTCCCCCCATCCACCCCAGACCAACAATGGCATCATATTTTTTTATTCACACTTTTGTACATGCAGCACAAGGATGTAAACTAAAAACCCCACCAGTAAAATGGAAGCTGTTGGTCTGGATATCTTTCCTGAGAAAGTAGCATTTCTATTTTGATTCCAATGGTTTCTTATAGTAGGAAAGATAAAAGTTTCCCCTTGACATTAAATCTAGAGAGCGGAACTGGTTTTAAAATGATTTTAATGTATATGTTGTGTTAACAGTTTATGCCTATGTTTTTGTTTTATATTGTATGTTTTTGTATTATTTTGCATATGTGGAAACTACTCTGAGTCCCCTAGAGGAGATAGGGCAGTATATAAATAATAATAATAATAATTATTATTATTATTATTATTATTATTGTCGAGTCCAACTCTGGGGGGTGGCGCTCATCTCCATTTCTAAGCTGTCCATAGACACCTCCAAGATCATGTGGCTGGCATGACTGCATGGGGTGCCGTTACCTTCCCACCAGAGCAGTACCTATTGATCTGCTCACATTTACATGTTTTCAAACTGCTAGGTTGGCAGAAGCAGGGGCTAACAACGGGAGCTCACCCCGTCCGCGGAATTGAACTGCCAACCTTCTGATCAGCAAGTTCTGCAGCTTAAGTGGTTTAATCTGCTGTGTCACCACGGCCCCTTTCATATAGTAACACAGTAAAAAAGTATGTGTGTATTCCCCTGCAAGATATAAAAGCCCCACATTAATCACTGGGGTCAAATGGCTTATTTTCTGGAAACCGCTGTGAGTCGCCCTCGGGCTTGAGATACAGCGGTATACAAGAATAGTAAATAATAATAATTATTATTTTGTGGTTTTAAACAGATTTTTTGGTATGTTAACAGGAAGTGAATTAGAAGCAAAGCACAAAGTATGCACAAAGTATGAAATTGGGATTTCAAATAGAATTTCAGGCATTTTCAATGGACAATGGGAATGACCAGTTCACCATTTCCTCTTGTTTTTCCTGTGCCATTTTAGAACT